GATCCTCTGAGCTATATCTACAGTTAGCTTATAAGAAGTTTCTATCTTAACCTCTCAGGCCATGGTGGCCTGAATGCTAGTGTGAAAACCTGCAACAAACCTTCGCACTCTCTCTGCATCGATGGGAATGATCATAAGTGCACGGAGAGACAACTCATAGAACCTCGCCTCATATTCGAACACTGACATCTGACCCTATTGGAGCTGTTGAACTCAAACCATAACTCTTCCCTCTAAGAGGGTGGAATATACATGTCCAGGAAAATACGGGTGAACCGGTCCCAAGTCATGGGAGGAGAATCTGCTGGTCTACCGAGAAGATATGACTGCCACCACCTACGGGCCCTTCCCTCCAGCTGAAAAGTGGTATAATCGACCCCATGGGACTCCAATATCCTCATGTTGTGTAGTTTGTCCCTGCTCCGATCAATAAAGTCCTGGGGTCCTCATGTCGCTCACCTCTGAAGACTGGGGATGAAGCCTAGTCCATCTGTCCAATAGCTTCTTCGGATCGCTGGCCGCAGCTGGTCTGGGCTCAGGTATAGCTGCTTCAACTGGATAAGCTCTGCCCACGGGTAGTGCGCCTGGAGTCTAATATGCGACAGCTGCATGCCCTGGAGCCTGAGCGGTAGGCGTCTATGCTCCCCTCCCGCCTGAGATATGGCTGGATCTATTGGAAATAAACTAGCCTACGTCATAGAATCCCTGAACCGTAGCATACGGCCCATGACCTCCTGGAATCCCGATGCGGACATGAAATCCATCGGGGCTGGCTCTGCTGCAGGCACCTCCCCCTGCTCATCAATAATAGGATCCTCTACTGGATCCACTGGTGGAACAACTGGGGCAGCTCTGGGACATCCTCGTCCCCTACCATGGGCTGGAGCCCTCCCTCGGCCTCTAGCAACAGTGGGAGCAGCTCCTCCATGGTCTGGAACATTCGCTGTGTGTGTTCTCACCATCTGTGAGAGAATAAGAGAAAGATACTTAGTACCACATCAACTGCATGATAGGAGATGAAGAAAGAGTAGTTTCCTAACACCCTATAGCCTCTCGAATATAAGTACCGACGTCTCCGCACCGATCTGCAAGACTCTATTAGGCCTACTCATAACTTGTGAGACCTACGTGAATCTAGTACTCTGATACCATGTTGTCATGATCCAATTCACTTATAGGCCATGATGGCGCCCAATGCTACCGCTAGGCAAGCCAACGGTGAATTACACCATGTTATTTCTTTTTTAATAAGTTTTCAAATGATTAAATTCCATTAAATAAAAAGGTTAAGAAATCAGAACTTTGTAAATAAATAGACGAAAGCAGCTGAGTGCAATCATAACCATAGAATAATCCAAAACCATATGCCTGCTAGTGTGTGTGCCAAGACATGGTGTCACAAGTGTATGAGTATGAGCACTAATATATATACAAAACTCTAGCCATTGTCTGAATTGAAAATAGATAGAAATAAATGTAAAGGAGAGACTCTAGGTGCTGCGGACAACTCAGGAAGCAGCTCACCACTAGGCCTCGGGATATCTAGGATGCGCACCGATAGTACCGCCAGATGCACCTGCCTTAGATCTTGCACGATTAGTGCAGAAGTGTAGCGTGAGTACATAAACAACATATACCCAGTAAGTATCTAGTCTAACCTCGAAGAAGTAGTGATGATGAGGTCGACTTCGACAATTACTATTGGCTAATAATATGAATACAGAAATTCCAAAAAAGCATGAGTTATGTAATTAATAATAAATATCCATTAACAAGCAGGAGCAAATAATTCTTTCACAATTTAATAAATTCCCGTCATTGATAAGTGTAACCTCATAAGCCACAAAATAGTATCAAGTATGATTAGGCTCCGAGTATTATTAAGCACGATTTATGCTGAAGTCGTACGACCCGATCCAGAATAACATGTACACTGCCGAGGGACGTGCGACATGATCCATAGATACATCTATTTACTGCCGAGGCATTCGGCCCGCTCCACAAGAAGAGAGGATACTTTATAAGCATTTGACTTAAACGTTATAATAGGGTTAATACATAATATAATAAAAATTCCATTAACGGTCAAGTAATCTGCTAAAAATTCAAGTAAGTAAAATACGGTCTTTTACAATTCTTCTAACAAGTTCTAATATAATTTGGGCACTTAAATTAACAAATAGGGTGCAAACATTACAAGTAATCCATGATTTGGGTCCTAAGCTACCCGGACATAAGCATAAATAGTAGCTACGCATGGACTCTCGTTATCTCGTGCGTACGTAGCCCCCACAATTAGAAGCAAAAATTAATTTAAAGCACCTATGGGGGTAAATTTCCTCTTACAAGGTTCGACAAGAGACTTGCCTCGTCTCAAGGCTCACTTTACGATCATAATTTCACTCTAAAGCCCCAACAATCCAAAACTAGTCAAATATTATATAAATTAATCAATACATGTTCTAAAGTTCATATTCTAACTATTAGAGTGATTACCCAATCCTAACTGAAAGATTCCTAAAATACGTCTCCGGGCTCACGTGTCCGGATTCCGGAAATTTTCGAAGAAAGTTGTTACCCATAACCTCACAAACTCAAATATATAATTTTCACTCAATTCCCTAACCATTTCCGTGGTTAAATCCCATTGTTATCGAAACCTAGATTTTTCATCTAAACCCATAATTTCCACAATTTACATATTAAAATCTACCCTTAATCTATGTATTTAACTCAAATTCGATAGAATTTACTTACCTCCAAGTACTAGGTGAAAACCCCTCTCCAAGAGTTCCAAAATCGCCCCAAGAGGTGAAAGAAAATGAGTCAAAATCGTCTAAGTCCCGCATTAAATGGACCATTCTGCCTCTAAGACTTCCGCATCTGCGGTCCCTTGGCTGCCTCTGTGGCTCCGCATCTGCGGAAGGTTCATCGCAGATGCATACCTCCCTTGGTTGGCCTAAGTCCGCATCTTCGAAATAAGGCTGGCTTCTGCGAGGCCGCTCCTACAGCAGATGAGCCGCACCTGCACAAGTCTCGCTTATGCGGTCCCTTGACTGCTTCTACGGTCGCGCATCTGTGATCGCCTTGTTCGCATCTACGGTTTCTGGCTGCCCATGCTGGGCTGCTTCTGTGTGCTCGCACCTGCGGTTGGCCCTCCGCAGGTGCGGTTACACTAGAAGCTGGGTGCTTCAGCTGTTCACCCATGGCTAAACGACCTCCTTGAATCGTCCAAATGGCATTTGCGGTCCCCGAGACCCCGTCCAAACATGCCAACACGTTTGAAATCATAAAACGGACTCGCTCGCACCCTCAGAATGCAGAAAAGAACATCAAAACTAAGAATTACACCCCAAACCAAATTGAATCAACTTATGAACTTCAAGTTCATCCAACTTACACCAAATTTTGCGTGCAAGTCTTAAATCACCAAACAGAACTATTCCCAATAACAATTTAAACAGTATCAAAACCTACTCTAAACCAAATTTAAAGAACTTTTAAACCTTCAATAACAAACTTTCAACCTTAAGTGCCGAAATGCTCCCGGGTCATCCAAAACCCGATCAGAATATACGCTTAAGTCCAAAATTATTATACAAACCTATTGGGACCATCAAATCACGGTTCCGAGGGTGTTTACTTAAAACGTTGACCAAAGTCAAACTTTGCCCTTTTTGCCAACCTTAAGGAACTAAGTGTTTCGATTTCAACCCGAACCCTTTTAAATCCCGAACTAGCCATCCCCGCAAGTCATAAAACAGTAAAACCATATACAGGGAGTCTTATTTAGGGGAACAGGGACTTAGGAAGCAATACAACCGGTCGGGTCATTACATAAACTGTATACCAAAATAGTATATAGTATATCATTTTGGTATACAATACAAATTCTTCTTCTCTAGTCAACTCAACTTTAACCCAAATTTAAAATATTTACTGCAAAATCTCCACTATGAAAATGTCGTTTAAAATTTGAAAAGGGCCTGAAAATTTTGAAAATCTAGAAAATGGTCCAATTATAACGATATACTGTTGCAACATATTATATATTATTGCAGTATATTGTATACTATTATAATAAACTATTGTAGTATATTGTATACTATTCTTATTGTATGTACTGCTAAATTATTTGTAGCAGTAAACTATAAAATACATCAATATACTATAAAAGTATATTGTATACTGTAACAATATATTATTGAGTAATTGTGTTTCTTCTTCAGATTAAAAGCTTCAAGCTCGAAAATGGAAGAACGTCTTCAAAATTTAATTCAAATAATCACCTCAATTGAGCTCCAACTGCAACCAAATTTCAGTATTAACTTTTCAAAGGTATTATAGATAACATATTGTCACACCCACTTTGAATTAAATAATAAAATCTTCAGGTCAATAATTCATATTAAAGAGCTTCAAGCTAAGCAATGGTTGATCTTCAAACATATGAAAATTTCATATAGAGAAAGCCAAAATCTATCTAACTCAATGAGATTGAGAATTTTGAGAAGAAGCTATTGAAACCCTAAGTTTTTTTTATAGATTTACTTTCTAGCTTTGTTTTTATGGAATACATGAAAAAGAGAGGATAGAAAAGGTGGATAGATCAGATATTATATGGATGGAGATAATCCAATTGCCAAAAGTGAAGAAAAAGAAAGGGAGAAGAAAAATATAGGGAAAAGGTACAGCGCAACTTTAAACTGCATAGTTGCATTAGAAGAATGAATAAGAAAAATGGGTACACAGGTAAATATTTTTGGTCGGCTAGATGTATAGTGTAACTATTTTGAGAGTAGGTTAAAATGGGTAATTAATTTGTGTTAAGTAGGTATATAGCGTAAATTGCTCTAAATAAAAATGCATTTATTGTAGAGGTTATTTGGAGTATATAAGTGAGAACACGAGATTCTTGGAGGAGGTTTCTATATTGATGCTATTTAATTTGTTCTAGATTTATGTTTCTAAATTTTTATTTTTAACAACAGGGAACACAAGCCCCTATAGCTCAGTGGTAGAACGCCATTCTTGTGAACTGGAGGTTTGTAGTTCGATCCTGCATGGGGGCAAATTCAAAAATTTGTTTTTTCCGGAGTGTGGTTAATTTTTTTGCATATGGAACTTAAACTCACGAAACTAATGTTTCTTTCTAGTAGACTCTCTACTAAAGACAAGTTGAAAAGAAACAGTGATAAAAACAACAAAGTATTAAGAAAACTAAAGCGAACGAATGCAATCAAACATTAGATAGTACCATCAATCCAAGAACAAAGATGTAACGACCCGACCGGTCGTTTTGCTTTCTAGAACTCCATTCCATTAGGTAAGGCTCCCCGTATGTTCTTTTACTATTTTATGACTAGCGGGGATGGTTAGTTCGGGTTTGGAAGGGTTCGGGTTGAAATCAGAACACTTAGTTCCTTAATATTAACTTTAAAAGGTAAAGTTCGACTTGGATCAACATTTCTAGTAAACAACCTCGGAACTGGGATTTGATGGTCCCAATAGTTTTATATGATGAATTTGGACTTGAGAGTATGTTCGGATTGGGTTTTGGATGACCCGGAAGCATTTTGGCACATAAAGTTGAAAGTTGGCGCATTGAAGGTTTTAAAGTTCTTTAAATTTAGTTTGGAGTTGGTTTTGGTGTTATCGAGGTCCGTTTGGCATTCTGAGCCTGGAAATAGTTCTGTATGGTGATTTAAGACTTGCACATAAAATTTGGTGTCATTCCGAGTAGTTTGAGTATGAATCGGCGCGTTCGGAGTAAGTTGGAAGAATTTAAAGTTCATAAGTTGATTTTATTAGTTTTGGGTTGCGATTCTTAGTTTTAATATTGTTTTTCGCATTCTGAGGGTGAGAGCGAGTCCGTTTTATATTTACAAACTTGTTGGTATACTTGGGCAAAGCCCCGAGGGCCTCGGGTACTATTAGGACAATACGCGGATCAAGTTTTGAATTTGGAGAAGAGCTGCCGGTGCATGTCATCTGGTGCGTTTGCACCTGTGGTGGAATGGCCTCAGAAGCGGCACCATAGATGCGACACCTTGCTCATAGAAGTGGAAAGGGAAGGGGTCAGCAAGCTCCACAGAAGTGAAGCATTTCCGCAGAAGTGAAGTCGCTTCTGCGATGAAGTGGTCCGCAGGTGCGGACGGGGCAGCCTGGCCATGGTCGCAGGTGCGCGAGG